TAAAAATTTTATATTACGCTCTAGTTGAATCAATTGAATTGAATTTAATTGAATTTTTCAAATAACGCCTATGAAATGTGATATTATATCATCACTTTTACTGCACTGCTATTTTTAAATTTTCAAAAATTTCACCACGAAGCAATGCAAACCAAAATGAAACAGTTAAATGTCAACAAAGGCGACCATCGATCATTATTAGATAAATGTTTAGTTTATTGCAATATCAGAACAATACTTCAAACAATAAAATTCTCTAGAAAAAGTTTTGTGACAACTGCCAACAATGTTGCGCATCATAAAAAAAGGTGATAAATAAGTGCTACTAATATAATTATAAAAAAAAAAAAGATCATTTTTGTAATCTAAATAAATTACAATAGTCAACGTTATTTATGAAAAAATAAGTTGATATTCAAAGTCAATGTTGACTAGGTACAAATTACTTCAAAATTATTTAACTAAACGAAAAAAAAAAAGAAATTCACTAATCACATTTCATATTTGAGATACCCAACTACTATTATTTTAAAATTTTAAATAAGTGACAATTCTGTCAAACTAATTGTCAATATATTTTTTAATTATTAAGATTAAATATACATTAAAATAGCTTATTTTTGTGTAGAATCGATAAATAATTGTAAATAATAGCATTTCTATTTTTATTTGAACCTTAAAAAAAATTACATTTTAATCAAACTATATGAAACTATTTTAATTACGTGTATAAAACCAAAATCGTAAAAGTAAAGGCATAGACAGAGTGCTTGACTTCCACGCGAAAAGCCGGGTATCGATTCTCGGCTGGCGACTAATTTATTTTTTTTTTCATATTTTAAAAGTCAGTAAAATTCATAAATTATTTTAAAATTTATTATTTTGTCCTAATAACCTTAAATATTTTTTTAATTTTTAGATTTCCTTTAGTGGGTCGTAGAAAAAATATACTGCACAACTTGAGTGGAGACTCTTGAGCACTCCGCCTATGGTGTCGTGCCCAAATTTTGTGTTCATGCGGAATGGCTTTCATATCCACTCTTGTTGCACAAACTACTATTTTCTTAATTGTAGGTTATAATGTTTGACAGTTTATATCAAATCATTCTCTTTTTTTTGTTAGGTTTCTTACTTTTATATTACTGTATATTACTTTTATAAGAGGGTTAATTACTTTTTGAAATTGAGTTAATAATTTATGCTGTATGTATCTATAATGACCGTTGTGATGTGAAATATCTCCACTAAGTTTATGTCCACATATCGCACCCCTAGATGAAAACCCCACTAAATCAAAATTATTTATTTTGAGTAGCGTTTTCGAATTCCTTACTCAAAAGGACAAGAAAGAATCTGATGCTATAGTAGTAGTTTACGACCTCCAGGCAGTAATGCAGATTCCTAAAGGGCAAAACTTGTTCTTTTACAAGTCTAGAATAAACTACTTCAATTTTACTATTAGTGATTTGCACGCTAAGAATGTGGACTGTTTTTTTTTTGGGATGAGACTGAAGGGAAGCGTGGTGCCGTAGAAATCAGAAGCTGTGTTTTAGCTTTTATAGAAATGCATCTAAGCAATCATCCCAATGGAGACATAGATTTGATATTTTATTCAGACAACTGTTGCGGAAGCAAAGAAACAAGTATTTATTATCTGCTTATGCCTACGCTGTGTGCAATATGAGAGTGAAGTCTATCACCCATAAGTTTTTGATAAGAGGCCACTCGCAAAATGAAGGGTATAACGTGCATAGCGTTATAGAAAAGCAAGTGAAAAGGCACATAAAATCTGGCCCTATTTACACGTCATTGCAGTATACAGGGTGTCCTTTAAAATGTGTCCCAAAATTCTCAGGCAGATTCCTTAACCAAAAAATGGAAAAAAAGTTCCTATAGACCTATGTCCTAAAGTGCCCCCTAAGCGAGCAACAGCCTCTCGAAATCATTTTTTTTATTTTGATTTTTTGAATTTTCTTAAAAATGGAAACAAATAAAAGAACCAAATTTTGGCTGTTAAATATGATCAATAATAGTGACCTTTTGACACCTTCAAAAAGAAATTATTTCGTCAGGGGTGTACTTGGGAATTTTTTGAAAATTTTGATTATTCATAACTTTTTTGTGTTTTTGGTAATCACTTATCCATATTTTTTTTTACATTCTACATTGAAAACTACGTCAAAAAGGAATACTTGTTTGATCTCGATTGGAGCAGCCGTTTCCGAGAAAACATCATCCAAAGATATTCGTGCAGTTTAGGTTAATTTTCAATTTTGGCTGTTGTAGCCAAAAAGTTGGAAATCGAGGAACACGGCTTACATGTCCCTATCCTTACTTTTGAAGGTCTATTCAGTGGCAAAAAATATTAGTTGATACAGGGTGATCAAAAATCGGATGTGATTTTGGATTTTTGATCACCCTGTATCAAATAATATGTATTTTATGTCACTGAATAGACCTTAAAAAGTTAGGATAGGGACTGTAAGCCGTTTTCCTCGATTTCCAACTGTTTGGCTACAACAGCCACCTGAATTTGAAAAAATGTGATTTTTGAGTAGCTGTAGATCCTTTACTATTCATATTAGATAACAAGTGTGATGTATCATTGAAATCAGATTATCGAGCAGATTCTAAAAATATAAAAATATACAGGGTGTTCCATTTAAAAAACATAACTTTGATTTGGCACGGCCTTATGAAACACCCTGTCACATCGTAACTAATTTTAAAATGTGAAGTTAAAAGCTGCCTACTTTTATTATAACAGATCTACAGAGCTTCCTCACACTAATCAATCACCCTGTATACTATTTTTAGCTCTCTAAATAAAATTTAAAAATTTAGTTCCCATTTATTTATTATGAAGACCATAAGGTTTGTATTTAGCTGTTTAGAATAAAAAAGTAAAAATATGTATTTTTTTGGCGTTTTTGTGTTTCATGGATAATTTTTTTCGCTCACTGATAAAAATGTTTCTTCAGTTAAACATTATTTCTAAAAGTGTTCTGGTGCGATTCGTTGTATTGTTATTATTTTGTTTAAAATGGCTCACAATAACTACAATAATGATTACACATTCGGCGAAATGACGGACATGCACTTATGTTTTGGACTCGCTTCTGGAAATGCCAATGAAGCTCGCAGACTTTATCAGGAGCGCTTTCCAAATAGGCATCTTCCATGCGCTAAGACGTTTTCTAGAATTGACGATAGACTTCGGGAAACTGGTACATTTAAGAAAAACTCTAGTAACAGTGGAAGACAAAATTATGTGAGAACTCCTGCTTTGGAAGAAGCAATTTTGGATAGGGTAGCTGAAACCCCATCGACAAGTACCAGAAAAATAGCAAATGGTAAGTAATTATTTATTATTTTAGCTACCCCGTACCTTATCGTATAAAACTAGTTTTTTTACTTGTTATTGCTTCTCTTACATTTCACGACTTTTCGTATCGAAAAGAGTTGCGTTATGCAGAAAAAATCTGATTTCCCAAATCAATGGATTCTCTTTCTTAACTATTCACTACACAGATTCTCTCATTTAATTTCAGAAGTGGGAGTCGGACGTAACACGGTATGGAAAGTTTTGCGTGAACAACAATTGTACCCTTACCACATTCAAAAAGTTCAGGCACTTAAAGCTACTGATTATGAGCCGCGAGTTATCTTTTCTGAATGGTTTCTTGGAAGATGTAATCAAGATGCAATGTTTCTTAATAAAGTGCTATTTACCGATGAAGCTGGTTTCACTAGAGATGGTATAATAAATTTTCGAAATATGCATGAATGGGCTGAAGATAACCCTCACGCGGTTGTTGAACGTCACCACCAGGATAAATTTTCAATAAACGTCTGGGCTGGAGTTATTGATAATTACCTTATTGGACCATTTGTTTTGCCGAATAGGTTAAATGGAGCAGCATACAGGCTTTTTTTGGAAAATAACTTACATGAGCTTCTTGATAATATTCCGATTCAAATCAGACATAACATGTGGTTTATGCATGATGGAGCTCCACCACATTACAGCCTTGAAGCTAGACAGCACCTTAACGAAAGATTTGAGGGTAGAGTAATTGGCAGAGGTTGTCCTGTTAACTGGCCACCTCGTTCACCAGATCTAAATCCAATGGATTTTTTTGTTTGGGGTTATTTAAAATCATTGGTTTATTCCAGTCCTGTTGAAACAGTTGAAGAATTGGAAGAACGAGTTTTTCATCATTGCGAAGTTCTTAGGAATAATCCTGAAGTATTTTTTCGTGTAAGACAGTCTATGATGCGACGGTTGCGCTTGTGTGTGGAAACCAATGGTCGCCACATTGAGCATCTGCTTTAATTTTTTTTGATTTGTTTTTTTAGAATAAATATTTTTTTAAACCGTTTATTATTATTAAATAAAAATAGTCCCACCACGACATTTGAACTACAATTATTTAGAGAGAGCTAAAAAAGTTATTTTTATTTACGAGATTCACCGAGGTAATTTAGGAAAATTGAAAATTAAGCTAAAGTGGACGAATATCTTTGGATGATGTTTTCTCGGAAACGGCTGCTCCAATCGAGATCAAACAAGTATTCCTTTTTGACGTAGTTTTCAATGTAGAATGTAAAAAAAAATATGGATAAGTCATTACCAAAAACACAAAAAAGTTATGAATAATCAAAATTTTCAAAAAATTCCCAAGTACACCCCTGACGAAATAATTTCTTTTTGAAGGTGTCAAAAGGTCACTATTATTGATCATATTTAACAGCCAAAATTTGGTTCTTTTATTTGTTTCCATTTTTAAGAAAATTCAAAAAATCAAAATAAAAAAAATGATTTCGAGAGGCTGTTGCTCGCTTAGGGGGCACTTTAGGACATAGGTCTATAGGAACTTTTTTTCCATTTTTTGGTTAAGGAATCTGCCTGAGAATTTTGGGACACATTTTAAAGGACACCCTGTATAACACTGATTCGGGCTGCCAAAAAATCTGGACCAGCATACAAAGTGCATGAAATGACACATGATCGCTTTTATGGCTTGAAAGCTTTGCAAGAAGCTTGGGGTAAGAATTTTAATATGGATGAAGACAAGAACCAAGTAAAGTGGCATGACATAAAAGTCCTCAAAGTTAAAAAGGAAAGTCCCATGGTCTTTTTTTATAAAACATCTTTTGCAGAGGCCGAATTCAAAAAAATGTTGGGTGAATAAGAGGAAGACTAGACGTACTGAAGTAGAACATCTAATATCACAATAAATCTGAGGAGAGCATAAGCAGAAAAAATTAATTTTTCGGATGCAAAAAAAAGACATTAACGAACTTGTCGACAAAAATGTTATTCGGAACCCGTACTGCGATAGTTTTGTAAAATATTGATCTAGATTAAGAAATACAATTTTTGGAGTAGGTACGAAGTCTAGTGCAAGAAGTAAGGGCCATTATTGAATTTATTTTATCAGGAAACTACTTTTTTTACATTTATAAATATTTATAAGGTTACTGAATAATATTAGAATTCTAATAATTGAACTGTGATTTGCAACTTGGGACTGTTACTGCTAACAGTAAGTGATAATAGCACAAAAACGAAAATATAGACTGCTAGAATTTATAATTTTTAATATCTTGTATTGAATATTACCAAAGATAAGTCAGAGGCTGTAGTTATGTCTAAAGAGGAGAGAATGTTCAAATTTTTATTTTACTTCTAGGAGATAAATAAATCTGATATGCTACCTTCTAAAGGTATAATAATTATTGCTGTGATTATGATAAAAGAAATAAGTCGTATGCGATCTGAATTTCATTACCATACCTAGTAAGTAATTAATAATTGTTTTAATAAGGATATACTAATTTTGTATGTAACTAACGTCATAAATTGATGTTTAATTTTCTTTTGTTTTTTATTTCAGTAAATAAATTATAAGTTTCTATTTGAATAAATTGTTTTATTTTAACCATTTTAATTCTAGTGTACCTACATAGATCTAAAAACTATCCTAAACTGATCAAGCAAGACGTTGTACATCATCCGTAACTCAAAATACCCAAAAAATGTTATCTTGTTTTTGCAGTGAAAAGTAATGTAACTCTTTTATATTTCAGATAAAGTAAAGTAACTGTAGTTAGTACAAAAAAATATTACTTACTACCGGTGCAAAACTAAAATATCTAAAAATTTATGATTTTTTCAGGTTTTAAAGGAACGATTTAAAAATAAGGTAACTTACCAAGCTTAAGAAGTAATTACCTTCATAATGTGTTTTTATTTTTTTGATATATTTTCTAAATATTTTAAAAACAATTTTTCGTCGTTTCTGAAAAATAAGGTTTTTCGATTTAGTTGGGTTTTCATCTAGGGGTGCGATATTATTGTAATAAAACATAAACATTAAAATTACAAGTAACAAACTTAATTAATAAGAAAAATGGCAGATTATTGTGAGTGGTAATCTTTTAAACAATATATAACAATCACCACAACAAGACAAAAAAATGGGATCTTCGTTATAATAATAAAATTTTTAAATTTTCACTCCAATTCAATCAGAATACTTTTTTGATTTAAGTTTGAAACATGAGACAGCAGAACCTAAAATTTCCACAAGGAGATCTGAAATGTTCCCTTTATTCTATTCTCTTATTCCCTATTTCTCTGCTTAATAAATAATTTATACTTGACAAAAAAACAAAATGTTTTTATTGATATAAATCTATGTATAACCTGTTTATCTGTGGGGAAGAATAATTTAAATAAAAAAAAATCTGATGTGTCCAACACATGACTTTCCTATCTAGTTATATAAATGTTTAGAGGCTAAACTAAATATATACATTGTTCACATACATCTACCTCGAAACATTTTTCTATAGATATTCATGGAAAACGAAAATAATGAAAAATTTTAATTTCCTACAATTTTTTCATTACGGTCCATTTTAGAAAAATCATGTATAAACAAAAATTATAGAGATCGATATCGCAAACAAATTTATTTCAAAAACTTTCATAATAAAAATCAGAATTTTGCACATTTTGTCAAATTTCTCGAATACGGACCATTTCAGGAAATTTTTACATAAAACAAAAATTACAGATAATAATATTAGAAGTAACTTTTATTTGAACAATTTTCCTCTCCAAACATAAATAACAGATATATTCCATAAAATATAAAAACGGCCTCCCATAAAGTACCCCCCCAGATGTTCCGACTTTGTCCAAAATCTAATCATTTCACGTCAGGCCGAAATAAACCTGAAGTTTAAAATTTAATGTTTTTTTCTTTATCCGTTTTTGAGTTTTTTTCAAAATTCGAAATTTACACATTTTCTCAAATATCTCAAATACGGTCCATTTTAGAGAAATTATGTAGAGAATAAAAATTATAGAGAATTATATTACAAACAACTTTTATTTAAACAATTTTTATAAAAAAATATTTTTTTTACATTTTGTCAAATTTCTCGAATACGGACCATTTTAGGAAAATTTTGTATAGAACAAAAATTATAGATAATAATATTAGAAGTAACTTTTATTTAAAGAATTTTCTTCTCCAAACGTAAATAACAGATATATTTCATAAAATATAAAAATGACCACCTATAAAGTACCCCCCCAAATGTTCCGACTCTGCCCAAAATCTAATCAGCTCATTAGATGCTGAAACAAAGCTTAAGTTTAAAATTTGGTGTTTTTCTGTGTATCGGTTCATGAGTTATGCGTTATACAGACACACACACAGACACACACACACACACACACAGACACACACACACACACACACACAGACATCATCGCGAAAATAGTCAAAACGGATTCAGGGGACCTCAAAACGTAAAAATCCGTCGAAAACTCGAGGTCGAAAAAAATCATGATTCCTATACTTTCCTTATATCTGTATACAGATAGGAAAGTAAAAATATTAAAGAAGGCTACCGATTGAGTATGAAAGCTCTTTTAAACTCGAACCTAGTCCCAAGAAACTTACAATGTAACAATATAAATTATTATAAACGACAGGAAGACAAAGTCCAAATTATAAATACTTAAAATTCGCCCGCGGACTACGAAAAATAATAAAAAGGCTTTAAATTTTGAAATATCATAATGAAAAGAAATGCATTCCTCAATATCACTATTCTTAATATAATCCCCAAATTTAAGCTCTTAATGTCTTAATAATGATATTTTTAAATTCGCCAAAATTAGTGACTAAAACGCCTCGTTAAGTGATATCTTCGGGTGTAAACTGATGTAAATCGTTGCAAGAAACGAATGATGACTGAGAGTGTATGATATGATAGTTACACGGTACACCAGAAGGCAGCACTTAACAAAGCGTGTTAGCCACTAATTTTGGCGAATTTAAAAATATCATTAACAAGACATTGGGAATATATGAAAAATAGTGCTGTTGAGGAATGCATGTATGTTCATTAAAATATTTTAAAATTAAATCTCTTTTTTTTTTTTTCGAGAAAACTGAAAGAAATAATATTACCTAATTTATTTTGCCAGCATTACTTTTTAAAATATCCTTGTCAGAAAAATTAATTGCTTTAACTTAAAAATGAGGAACAAGTGCTTATATTTTAAAAAATTAAATTTTTGGATCTTAATTAAAGTTCATGGAATATATATCAAATAATACGTATTTCTCAATTCTAGCTAAAAAAAAATATTTATTGAAAAGTAAGCATGATTTTTTACCACTTTTTAAGTAAAAGCAAATACCTAATTTTTAGTCACACTACCTATTGGTAGTAACTCCAGCTACAAGAAAGTGTTCATTATAAACACTACGGATTCTTTTTTTGATATTTTGAAACGGGAAAATAATAACAATTTAAAAAACTGTCGCCAAGAAATAAACAACTGTTGCTGTGTTACAGATCTTTCCACTTTTTCAAGATATTTGAATACTGGTATTTCAATATAATTCCCTTTTTCTGTGATCAAAGTAACATATTTGGTAGTAATCAACATGGTTTTTTAATTATAAAAATCAACAACTATGTTAGTTTTTTCATAGGAGGACCGTTCTTTGTCCGCTACTCCTATCTATTAGGCGATGATATTTTTGCAACATATTTTGTGTGACATTTTAACCTAGGTTTTTTATAAGTTTAGTTAGTGTCAGTTGTCAAATATAACTGACTGTTTGTAAGTTACATAGGTTAAAAATAAACCATTCGCCAAATAAAGGAAATGGACAATGAGTTTTATCGAGCAGAGTTCTCTTCACTGTTTCAAGCGTGACTTAAACCGTAAAATATTGTTTTGAGGAAATAAAATGATTGCTTGATACCGTAAAGTGGTAAATTCAACGTGGTCGACTATCTTCAAATGATACATTTCGAGCTCCTAAGCCAAAAACGGCAGTTACGGAAAAAATAATAATCTTATTGGGAACATGATTAAAGAGGAATGGCACATTACTTTCATAAATATTTAAGCAACTTTTTTTTTTTGGCTTGGACTTTTGTCATGCAGCCAGTCACTTAATGAATATAAATAATATAATACAAAATAAATGGTAAACAATAATGGCAACAAAAATAATCCATCGGAACAAAACCAATCCGTCGCAACAAAACTAATCTACCGCAACAAAACCAACCTATCACGTCAAACAAAAATTAAAAAGAATACTTTTCAAAGGAAATAAACAAGGACACTCGTTTCTCGTCCAGGGACCCATCAGGACATTTTTTTTTTTAAGACACACTAGAAATAGGCCACGGCGTGGGTAGGGTAATATAACGAAGGTAATTAGGATATATCAAAAACAAAGGTAACAAATCTACTACAATCTTATATCTGCTTTAGACAGAAATTCTATCAAACAATCAAAAATTTCTTTTTTAGATGAAGCCAAAATTGACAATACATTAAACGGATCAGTTATATTTACATTACACAGTTTTTTATATAATTCATTTGACAGATTCTGATACGTTGTGCATTCAAAGAAAATGTGATCTAAATCACCTATAACTCCACAGTGTTCACAGTTGTCACTAGGTATAACAAGCAACTTTAAAGTTAAAGTATT